CCCATGTTGTGCAGTGCCCATGGAGGTCAGAAGAGGGTATTGGATCCCCTGAAACTGGAGTTAACCTGCCATGTGGGTGCTGGGAACCAAACTCAGGTCCTCTGCAAGAGCAGATAATATTCTTTAACTGCGGAGCCATCTCTCCAGCTCCATAGTTTGCTTTTCTGTTGCTATGATAAAAAACCATGACCAATGGCCGGGCGTGGTGGCGCATGCCTTTAATCCCAGCACTCGGGAGGCAGAGGCAGGCAGATCTCTGTGAATTCAAGGCCAGCCTGGTCTACATAGTGAGTTCCAGGACAGCTGGGGTTACAGGGAGCCCTGTCTCAAAAAGACCAAAAAAAAAAAAGCCAAAGAAACCTGGGGGAGGAAAGAGAGTTTATTCTTATATATCTATCTTAGAGGGAAGTCAGGCAGGAACCTGGAGCCAGGAACCATGGAGGAATGCCACTTACTGACTTTCTCTGTAGCTTCTGCTCAGCTGGCCGCCTTATACAGCCCGACACCCTGCCTAGGGATGATACCACACACAGTGGGTTGGGCTGTCCAGGCTGATTAGGGCTATCACCCAATTGAGATTCCCTCAGATAATTCTGGGCTGTGTCAAGTTGACAGCTGATGCTCACTAGGAGAACTCTGTTGCTGTGGGCTATACATTTTGCCAAGGACCAAATTAGGGAAATGTTTCTATTCATAAGATGAATCCTAAGAAATTATTTCTAACATTTTTCAGCACTTTCAGTGAGTGGAGTGAGCTGTCTAGGGGCACAGACTTTGAAGCGAACTGGACTTTGAAGCTGAGTTCTGTCAGTAGGTCAGGAGTTGTGTTTACTTATCTAAATTGTCTGCTTTCATTTCTGTGATAAGAGATAATATCTGTGGGAAGGTTGTTGGGAGAATTTCGTGTTGAACTTGCTATGAAGCACTTCCATATACACACCCCTTGGTGGGACTATTGAAACATAAAATTGTTATTTTGGCAGTTGCCAAGGAATAAGACTAGTAAATTAAAAGAAGGAATGTGCTAGAAACTGGGGTCTAGTTCTGCCCGTTTGCTTTGTGGTTTAGGCAAGCCACATAACTCTCAGAAATTCACTCTTTCACCTGTGAATCAGGAATCAGTGTCTGTCTTGAAGATTAAATGAAATAATTAAGTACTGGCCCAGAGGGGAGGCCAAAGACAATGAGAGTGCTATTTTCCAGCCCTCTCCTTGCCCCCAATGGAGAACAGTTCTGGAGTTTGATTTTTTGTTGTTGTTGTATGTCTTGTTCATTTGTTTATAACTTCAAACTGTCTAGAATTCTTTCTGGCTGCTCACAGAAGAACAAATAACAGCTGTATGAGTAGATGGATATAGCTAGAAAAGCACATTAGATTGATTTCCCTCTTCCCTTTGCTGTTTTGAGTTATCATTCTAGTAAGTACTACTAGAACCAAGATGGTGGACACTGTCATAGCATTGAGCTGGTCCATATACAGACCTCAGAATCCTTCTTTACACTTCCAAACAGCTAAATTCAGTTCATCAGAATTGATACAGTAATGAAAGCCTGATTGTCCTCCCTATCTAGAGCTTTCTAGATGAAAACACAAAAATTATATATTATTCATTAATCCTTTTATCTTGGATGTGGACTTGTTCAATCTTATGATGAGACAGGGTGGTCTTATTTTTAATTTTCAGATTTATTTATAGCTAAGCGTGGTGGCGCACGCCTTTAATCCCAGCACTTGGGAGGCAGAGGCAGGTGGATCTCTGAGTTCAAGGCCACCCTGGTCTACATAGTGAGTTTCAGGCCATCTGGGGCTATATGGGGACCCTGTTTTAAAAAGACCAAAAAAAAAAAAAAAAAAAGATTTATTTCTGTGTGTAGAGGTGCCCATTGAGGCTAGAAGGTGTTGGAGCCCCTAGAACTGGAGTTACATGTGGCTATCAACCACTTGGTGGGTGCTGGCAGTCAAATTCAGGTCCTTAGGAAGAGCAACAAGTGCTCTCAATCGCTGAACCCCAAGACAGGGTGGTCTTATTGCAGATGCTTGTTTACATTATAATGTTGTTACCCAATGTGGGCATGTTCAAATATTTTGTGGGTGCTTTCGATACTTTAGATAATTTAAGAATCTAGTGCAATGATGAACTGCAACGATTATTTTATTTATTTTTTCAGTTTTATGTCTGAGTGAATTGCCTGCCTGTATGTAAGTGCACCAGTGTTGTGCAATGCCAGTGGAGATCAGAAGAGGATGTTGAATTCCCCTGGAACTGGAGTTACAGATGGTTGTTAATTTCCATGTGGGTGCTGGGAATCGAATCTGAGTCCTCTGTAAGAACAGCCAGAGCCATCTCTCCAGCCTCAGTGGTCTTAAACTACCCCTGCTCTGAGTCCAACCACAGATTTTGTTAAACCTGAATCTTCAAGAGATAGAACCTGACATGTGCATTTTGTAGTGTTCTTTATGCCACTCATTAAAACAGGATGTGGGCAAGCATGTAGAGAACTAGGCCTCTTTACACATGATTAAGACAAATAGAAATTGGCATAGAACAGCCAATACAATAATTTTGCAGTATCAAAGTTTTAAATATGTCCTGTAGGAATACATATATGCACAAAATTATAGTTTGAAGATTTTTTTTTTTCCCTTTGGGACAGTCTTATATAGCTCAGATTGGCCTCCAACTCTGTTTCCACCTCCCCAGTCTTGGGATGACAGGCATTTGATACTGCGTTCTTCAAGAACTAGGTGGGGTGGTGCATGACTGTAATTCCAGCACTCAGGAGGCAGAAACAGGAAGATTTTGAGTTTGAGGACCGCCTAGGCCACATAGCGAGACCCTGTCTCAAAAAGTTTTCTGTAGCTCTGTTTGTATATTAGACTGGTGAGCAGTAATTGATATATTACTACACAAGTGGTTGAATCTGTTAGTGATACCACAGTTGTTTACTATACAGCCATTTAAAGAATGAAGTATTGAAAGATTTATACATGCTAAAGTTGTTAAGAAAAAAAGAAATTTTGCTGGGTGTGATGGTGCATACTTGTTTTCTCAGTACTTGGGAGGCTGAAACAGTACTCTCCAGTTTAAGGACTGCCTTGGCTACACAGCAGATCCTTTGTAAAAACAAACAATGGATAAAATATATTTGGCCTGTATCAGAATTATGTAGGTTTAATGTCTACATATCTGAATGTGAAAATAAAGTGTAAAACACTGTTGTTTAATCCTTTTGAACTGATCTTTTTTTCTTTTGGTCTTCTTGAGACAGGGTCTCCCTGTAGCTCCAGCTGTCCTGGAACTCACTGTGTAGACCAGGCTGGCCTTGAACTCACAGATATTGGTCTGCTTCTGCCTCCCGAGTGCTGGGATTAAAGGCATGCACCACCACGCCCAGCTTGATCATCTTTTTTGTCCATGAGAATATTAATACCTTTAATTTTCTTTCCTAATTTTAGGCTCGATGAGAGAAAGGGAAAGTTAAGGATGCTGGAGCAGAACAATGGATTTCTCCTTCTCTTTCATGCAAGGGATCATGGGAAACACAATTCAGCAACCACCTCAACTCATTGACTCCGCCAACATCCGCCAGGAGGATGCCTTTGATAACAACAGTGACATTGTTGAAGATGGTGGCCAGACACCCTACGAAGCTACCTTACAGCACGGCTTTCCATACCCACCTACAACAGAAGACCTTCCTCCACTTACAAATGGCTACCCATCATCAATCAGCTTGTATGAAACTCAAACCAAATACCAGTCATATAATCAGTATCCCAATGGGTCAGCCAATGGCTTTGGTGCAGTTAGAAACTTTAGCCCCACTGACTATTACCATTCAGAAATTCCAAACACAAGACCACATGAAATTCTGGAAAAACCTTCCCCTCCACAGCCACCACCTCCTCCTTCGGTACCACAAACTGTGATTCCAAAGAAGACTGGCTCACCTGAAATCAAACTAAAAATAACCAAAACTATCCAGAATGGCAGGGAATTGTTTGAGTCTTCCCTTTGTGGAGACCTTTTAAATGAAGTCCAGGCAAGTGAGCACACAAAGTCAAAGCATGAAAGCAGAAAAGAGAAGAGGAAAAAAAGCAACAAACACGAGTCATCTCGGTCTGAAGAGCGCAAGGCACACAGAGTCCCCAAAGGAGAGCCAGAGGGGCAAAGTGTAAGTTGAAGCAGCTTCTGTCGAGCTTTGTAAGCTGTGTGTTTACTGGGAATCTGAAATCTTTTCACTTTCTCTCTTCAAATATGAACATTTCTGGTGAGTTCTTTCTTACAATCACTAGTAAGGTGCCTGGAATACTATAATAGGTAATGAATAAATGTTTGACGAATAGATAAATGGATGTTATTAGCAGAGAGATATTTTAAAAGCATTTAAACCAACAATCTTGTTTATATTTCTTGATAGTCTCAATTATTTTTACTTGTTTATAACAAACTCCTGGCTTTGGACAAAAGATGGAGACAAGAGGCAGGGACAAATGGGATTTTTATTTTATTTACCAGCTTTGATGGTGGAGCTTAGATTTAAGACTGGTTTCTGATGTGCTTGCTGCAAAGCAAGCTGAAGAACTCTTTAACATCAGAGCATCCACATGTGTTGGTTAGGTGGTTAGGACTTGAGGTGGGGCTGTTTTGTTTTGGTTTTGGGTTTTTTTTTTTTTTTTTTGGTCTTTCTGAGACAGGGTCTCCCTGTAGTCCCAGCTGGCCTGGAACTCTCTATGTAGACCAGGCTGGCCTTGAACTCAGATATCCATCTGCCTCCCAAGTGCTGGGATTAAAGATGTGCACCACCACGCCCAGCTTGAGGTGGGGTTTTTAAGAAAGCTAGTGAACTCTGCTAGATAGTTTAATATCTGAGGTTTCATGGCAGTAATATAGCAATAAGTATGTAAGTCAGTTTAGTTCTTTTTTTGTTTTGTTTTTTTGAGACAGGGTCTTCCTGTAGCCCCAGCTGGCCTGGAACTTACTGTGTAGACCAGGCTGGACTTGAACTCACAGAGATTCTCCTGCCTCTACCTCCCAAGTGCTGGGATTAAAGACATGCACCACCTTGCCTGGCTGTAAATCAGTTCTAGCTTGAATGAAGAGTTCATGTTATAAACTGCAGATGTTTCCTAGAGAAATATTTAGGAAGAAACTAATAAATGTTTATTTTTGTGACACTTATCTGCTTTTATATTTCATATACCTGAATAAGTTAATTTATCGCCTTCTATTTAAAGAAAGATTTACTTCTTGCTAACTGATCTTGGCTAGCTGGTTTCATTATTTCATATGACTTATGTGATTTTTTTTCTGGGGTAAAGATCACAATAGTCCTAGGTTGTCCCAAGTCCCAAGTATGCTGTTTCAATGTGTTTTCTCCCTTTTCTTTCCCTTTCTTATTCATTTAACACATATAGATTGAATATTAAAGTGCTAAGCAGTGTTCTAAAAAATCAAAGGTGTGGTAGTGAGTAAAATGCAAAAGATATTGGGGCTGGAGACATGGCTCAGTGCTGGGTTAACCTGGGTTCAAATCCCAGCACCCACATGGCAGCTAACAACTGTCTGTAACTCCAGTCCCAGGGGATCCATCAGCCTCTTCTGACCTCTGCGGGTATTGCGCGACATGGGTGCACTTACCTACATGTAGGCAGTACACATACACACATAAAAATTTTTTAAAAAGTTTAAAAAAAAAAGCAAACGAAACAAAACTATGTACAACCAAAATAGAAAAAGGACTGGAAGCCATTAGAGGCAAGATTAAACAGTTTGTTGATATTTAAATCTATCTTTTGCTTAATTAGAGTTTAGGAGCTAAGTAAGTGTGGTAAAGGATGTCTAAAATCCAACGTTCAATGTTGAGGCAGGAACATTTACAGAGTAAGTTCAAGGCCAGCCTGGAAAAATCTATGTAGTAATAGACAAAGAGAGGGAGGGAGGGAAAGAAAAGGAGAGAATATAGAAAAATGTCAGCACATTGATATCACTTTGTAGAAAAGTATTATGTCTTCGTTAGGGATCTGCTATGCCTACCTCTTTATATCTCTTAGACCTTCAGTTAACACTGTAATCTAATGTTTAGATATAAATTAAGACTTCATGTACTCCAGGCTAGCCTGGAATTTGTTATCAAGGATGATCTTGAACTTCTGATCCTCCTGCCTCCACCTTCAGATTGCTGGAATCACAGGAATGTGTCTTCCACACCTGGTTTTATGTGGTGCTTGGGATGAACACATTTACCCTGACAACTGAGCTACATCTCCAGCCCTGAATTTAAGACTTTTAGCAAATCATATAGAGTATAATTTAATATTTGATTGTGTATTTCTGTTTTTTGGTCTTTTTGAGACAGGGTCTCCCTGTAGCCCCAGGTGACCTGGAACTCACTATGTAGACCAGGCAGGCCTCAAACTCACAGAGATCCGCCTACCTCTGCCTCCCGAGTGATGGGACTAAAGGTGTGTACCACCACGCCTGGGTATTATTTTTATTTTATTTGTATGATTATGTGTTTTTTACAGTGCTGGGGATTGAACCCAGGGCCTCACACATGCTAGGTAAGGGCTATACCACTGAATTATATCACTAACCCTCTTTTTACTTTTTGAGATCTCACTAAGTTGCCCAGGCTGGCCTTTAATTCATCCTGTAATCCAAGTTAGTCTTGAACTTTCGATCCTCCTGCCTCATCTTCCCAAGTAGTTGGGGTGACAGACTTCTCATATTACCTCTTCCATCTTTAATCCCTCTCCTCCCTTCCTCCCTTCCTCTCCTTTCCCTCCTTTTCCCTCCTCTCTTGTGTTTTAAAAGCCCACTCATAAGTTTTGTTTTGAGCAAAATAGCTCAACTACAGAAATGTATTTTTAAGATTTTTATCACCCAAATTTGGTAATACTTACAGTCCTAACACTTGGTTATGTCTGGGGGGGCAGGGTAAGGGTAGTGACTGAGGCAGGAGGCTAATGCGTTTCAGGCCAGTCTAGGCTACATGGTGTGACTCATCTCAGAAAAAACATGTGATGATGATCGAGATGATGCACACTCATGTACACAAATATTCACACACAAAAGTGGGCAGGGGTGGGGCATGGTGGCGCACACCTTTAATCCCAGCACAGGAGGAAGAGGCAGGTGGATTTCTGTGAGATCCAGGCTAACTTGGTTTACATAGTGAGTTCCCAGGCCAGCTCATATTACAGAGAGACGCTGTCTCAACACACACACGCACACACACACACAAAATTATTACTTCTTCTCATAACTCTATAAATAGCTGTTGTGCTTCTGTGTGTTAATGTCCATTTCCACATATCTTTGAGGTCAGGGGTCACATCTGTTTCTTCCACCATGACCCAGCTTCTAGGACTGTACTTCCAGCTACGTAAGTACTGCTGAAGGAATATGAAGCCTATTTTAATCTAGTTTACAAAATATACAATTTACCTAACAATTGAAAACTATACTTTCATTATAAATGAAACCTTTACTTTTACAGTGTCTTAAATGTCTTGAAATAGTTTGAGAATTTTAGAATTAACTATATTTAAGCTGTCTGAATTATGTCATCTGATAAATTTTTAAAAAATCTTTTGAAAAAATATTTTATTTTTAATATATTATGTGTTTGAGTGTATTGCTTGTGTGGTTTAAGTGTACCTGTGTCGTACAGTGCCTGCAGAGGTCAGAAGAGGGCATTGGATCCCATGGAACTGGAGTTATGAATAGTTGTTAGCTACCATGTAGTGTTGGAAATCAAACCCAGGTCCTCTGCAAGAGCAGCCAGTGCTCCTAACCACTGAGCCATCTCTCCAGCCCTAAAAAAATCTTTTAACTGATAGAAATCGCTTTTCCTCTTCCTCCTCCTCCCCTTCTTCCTCTTCTCCCCCACCCCCCAATCCTCCTTTTTAAACTTATTGAGGGTCTCACTATGTATCCCTCACTGGTCTGGAACTTGCTGTGTAGACCAGGCTGGGCTTTAACTCAGTTACCTGCCTCTGCCTCCTGGGTGTTGGGATTAAAGTTGTATGCTGTGCTGGATAGCTTTAGTGTCAACTTGACTCACCTGGGTTGAGGGAGCCTCAGTTGGGGAATTGCCTCCATAGGACTGGCTTGTGGCCATGTTTGTGGGGCATCTCCTTTATTGTTGAGTGAGGTGGGAGGGCCCAGCCCACTGTGGGTGGTGCCATCCCTGGGCTGGTGGGCCTGTGTTGCATAAGAAAGCGGGCTGAGCAGGGGCCGAGGAACAAGTCAATAAGCAGCGATCCTCCATGCCCTGTGCTCCAGCTCCTGCCTCCAGGTTCCTGCCCTGAGTTCCTACCTTGGGCTCCCTGATGAACTGTGACCTGGGAGATGTAAAACAAATAAACCCTTTCCTCCCCAAGTTGGTAGTGGTCAGAGTGTTTTGTCACAGCACTGGAGAAACAAGCTTGAACATACGCCTGGCATAACCTGCCCTTTAAAAATGATTTTATTTATTATTATTAATGTGTGTACATGATGTGTGTGAATGTAGGCATGCCTGTGGAGGTCAGAGTACAATTTCTAATAGTTCTCTTCCTTCTATCATGTGGATTCTGGGAACTGAGCTCAAGTTGTCAGGCTTGCATAGCCAGTGTTTTACCTACTAAGTCATCTCTTTCTTCCTTACCATATATTTTTTTTAATACAAGAAGTCTTCCTTAGGCTGGCCTCAGCTCAAGCTAGCCTCCTGCCTTAGCTTCCCAAGTATCTGGTGCTATAAGTGGGCCCAACTTAAAAGCTTACTTTTAATTGTTTTTATATTTATGTATCTGTTTCAGGTGTGGGTGTGGCATATGTCAGCCATTGTGCACATGTGGAGGCTGAGGACAAATTGTGGGACTCAGTTCTTTCCTTCCACCATTTGGGTTTCAGTGATTGAACTCAGTTCATCAGGCTTGGTGGCTAGTCCCTTTACCAACCTTCCAGTCCAAAGTTCACGTGTGCCTGGTACCTGTGGAGGCGAGAAGAGAGTGTCAAATCCCCATGGAATTGATGTTAATGGGCAGTTATAAGCTGCCATGTGGGTACTGGGAACAGTACCTGGGTCTTCTATAAGAGCAACAACTGCTCTTAACCACTGAGCCATCTTTCCAGCTCCCTAAAATTTACTTTTAAAAGAACAAATTTCTGGGGCTCATGATTTTAAAAGTAATCTAATAGAGTTTATATTTAAAATTTTTAAGGGGCTGGAGAGTTGGCTCTGGTTAAGAGCACTGACTGCTCTTACAGAGGATCTGGGTTCGAGTCCCAGCACCTACATTGTGCCTAACAATCGTCCTAACTTCAGTTCCAGGGGATCTGACACCCTCTTCTGACCTCTGAGGGCATTGTATGACATGGGTGCTCTTACACACATGCAGGCAATACACTCATATACATAA